AAAACAGAAAAAGTATAATAACAATATGCTGTATCTAGGCAGTCTGAAATTAATGATAGTCACAAGTGGATAGAATTTGTATTGAATTTGCATTCATCTTATGAAATAAAACCATCTTTGCTTAACATCATTTGATAAATGGCAATGCAATTTGTCATTTAATATGTGTAAATTTTAGATTATTTATGTATTTATGTCAATGAAAAACAGAATGTTTTCTAGGCATAAACATAATGCCAAGCATGCTCTCAAGAGGGAGTACCTTTAAAACATGCAAGCTATTATTTGTCATAAATTTTTCTTTTCATATTTAAAGATGTATAGTCGCATGAAAAATACCAAAAAATATCAAACTTCATTTTTGAAATTTACTTAATCATTTTGATGTAACATATAAATTATCAACTTGTAAATAGACATTAGTATACTGATAAAATGTTTACCCATAATTTTATAGCAAAAAAAGGATAGCAACACTTCCATTTACTTTTTAATAAAATGTGCGCTTAATAATAAAAATCGTTTTATTACTTTAACAGTAATTTTAGTTGAAGGCACTATGCCAGTTGTTGCATGGTAGAAACGTATTTTGAATGCAAGTCAGTTATGATTATATGGAATCCTTATGGAATACACTGATAAGGACTTGTCAACAGAATGGTTTTATGAAAAATATGCAATCTTCTCAATTATGGTAACATGACAGGATAATAGCGCATGTTGAGCCGTTCATTGAAGTCGAAAATGACAACCTCATCGTTTGCATTTAATAGGTGGTGATTAGTTTTGCTCCTCATTAAACTGCTCATCTTCAAAGCGATTGTGTTTAAAATGTCATTAATAACAAATTATTTTAACCCCTGGCCTGTTACATGTTGTCAACTGAATGCATTGTGGCCTAGTTTGATGAGAATGCCATGCGGATCATCTAATAGTAGTATTTGTCAGATGTGCTGTGTATATGATTTTATTATGATCATTAAATTAAAGTTGAAAATCTAAGTACAATAAAAAGAAGAAAAAAAATCTTCAGAAAGATTGTGAATGCGGCATCATACAAAAGCCGTCTGAAGAAACATCTTTGACTTTTTGCTCTTTTTCCATTCATAGAAATATTGCCAAAAAATAAAACAAAACCTGATTAGTTTTCTTGGGCGTTATAGCAAGCATGTACATATTATTTGTTGCGGTTAAAATCGTAAATTTCTACAAAATATTGGTATTTTCAATAGGGTTTTGTTGGAAAATTTTATTGCTGTTCAATTTAAAAGAACTGGCAGTATTACAATATTAATGATAGTATGGTAATGCTAACAATAAAAATAATATAATTACTAACGCTACAATTTTTTTCCCCCTTTCAAATGAAAGACAAAAACTGGCCAAAAATAGCATAGCAATGGTTTTAGGGAAAGGCATTTAATTTAGACATTGCTTGCATCATATCTTGATGGTTGTCGCTTTATAATACATCTACCTATAGCCGTTAGCAAATGTTTTTACAAGCAGGTTAATCACTACGTAATAACACAAGTTGACTCAATTATTTGCGTCTCAGCCATCAATTTGTCTACTCTACAATTCTTGATGCATTATATTTTTTCCACTATTTTTATAATGACACTGGTATGAGACCATTGTTTGATATAAATTCCCATTCCTTAACTGTAATTGTCATGCAGAATTCTCCACTCGGGATATACATGTACCCCTTATCCTTAGGGATTTAGGAAAGTTTACACAATATGTGCCTTTTATAACAATTCTAAAATTGTAGTGAACCATTGATTGAAGAGTTTGCATGAAAAAATGTGATCAAAATATATAATTATTCATTTATAGGACTATAAAAGTTGTCAACTTCACTGATGTACTAGCCTAGTTTGACTAATTTCTACTAAATAAGTTTTTAAAAGTTTAAGTGTAGTTGAATAGCTTAGTGGTTAAGATGCTTACCTTCTAATCTCAGGGTCCTGGGTTCAACTGCTGTCTCGGTAGAACTTTTTCTCACCACTATGAACGACTATCCACTCCCTAAAAGCCTCAATAAGAGACTTGGTTTATTATAAAGCATTGTTTCATCGTAGTGAGTGTGTGGATGTGAAGGAAAATAAAAATAAATGATAACCAAATTATTTTAAAAGTTTAATGCAAAGAATATAGGAATACAATGGTATTATTAAAGCACATGTTCAGTCGAGCGAGGAAAACATTTTGTTCTAATTTTCAACTGAAAGCTAAGCGCTTACTTCATATTGAAAGTAACCAAAACAGTTCAAATATTGAATTTTAATTTTCCCGTTTATTAGCTCTACACAGCTGATACAATGAAGGAGAAAAGCTCTCTCTAGAGGCTAGGCAGGGAAGGGGCTATATAGATGATTAATCATTGGTGTCTCTAGTTAGCACAGCAATTAAATTAATTTCAATAACATTTCTCTCACTTATCAAATTTTTCTTTTACTTTATTTTCCAGTTACCTTTTAAAGAATGTTCTCCTTCCTAGTTTTTTTTTCTTGAATTATTCCTTTATCCCAACCTTTTTTTTTTCTTGTCTTTAATTTACCTCTGTATTCAGGCTTCTTGAATAACAAATTCTTGGTATATTGATTTTATAATTTTACTAGATTTTAAATTAACTAGTCAATTTAGTCTGTAAATGGTATTTTTTTAATGATAAAGAATGATTTGCTAATTAATGAAAATTTTTTTCCTGTATACATTTTTTTTATGTACAGTATGTGTTTTTGAATTTCTGAATAAGTCCGTGAATGAATTAATTAATATGAATTATCAACATTAAGTCTCACAAAAAATTTGTCTTTTTTCAAGGATTTACAGAAAAATAAAATTTGATGGCAGAAATATAAATATATAGAAACACGTTATGAATGTTATTATTTAAATATTATTGTTCTAATTTTCAAGTTCAGTTTCATTGCGATATGTCATTGCACTTTTGTTTAAGATAATAAGCAACGAAAAATTTCAAGGATTTACAGAAAAATCATAAAATTTGATTGCAGAAATATAAATATATAGAAACATGTTATGAATGTTATTATTTAAATATTATTATTTTTCTAATTTTCAAGTTCAGTTTCATTGCGATATGTCATTGCACTTTTGTTTAAGATAATAAGCAACGAAAATCTTGTACAAGCTTGTGTTTCTAAAAGTTGTAATGCAGAAGTCATATATTTCAACACATGTTCTGGTATTTGCATCAGAACTCGTTGATTTGGAATTCTGCCACTTTGGAGGTTTGAATGTTTTGGCATACTTTAATGTTCTTTATATAGACTATTGGGCATACTGTAATGTTCGGAAGTCGAATATTTTAACATATGCTCTGGTATTTTTGTTTTTGCATTAGAACTTGTCCATTTGGAATTCTGCTATTTTGGAGGTTACGAATGTTTTTGCATAATGTTCTTAGATGGATTATTTTGCATACGTTAATATTCTTATAAATCGGAACTATTTGGTTTTCTTATCTCCCTCCCCACCTATTCTCCTCTGGTATACTCGCCCATTGGTAGTGATTTTTATTTTCATAGATGGATCAGACATAAGATTCAGCCTAGAATCACAAATGATGGATAAATATTCAATATTTTTTTTTAAAGGAATTGAAAGTCGGTCACCACATTTGCTAACTGTACACAGTTTCAAGGTGTGTCCTTTAATTCTTATTCGGAAATGAGTGCTTCTGGTCAATTATATACATCGTGGTGCCAATGGTTGTTTTAATAGATTAAAGTGATATCCATGATACATACATGCACTAAAGGTGAATTAGTCTTTTCAATACAATATATTAACTCTTTGTGTATCATATAGCTAAAAGCCAGGTAACTTCTTAGTATATCACTTGCGTTGATCTTTGATAGGAAAAAATGGATTAGTATTCAAAGGATGCCATTTAAAGTGAAAATGTTTTACAAGATAATTTAGCATGTTTTTTTTTTTTTTGGTTTTTTTTGTTAACAGCAGATATAAAGAAAAATAGAAGATAAAATTCTTAATTATGGTATTTCTTACAATTATCCTAAAGAATTTTTCGCATACATCATAACCGTTATTATCATCTGCAAATCAACTTGAAGATTCATTACATTTATTTATGGATAGTGGGAAAATATGATATGTGAACTCAAATTATATTGGTTTGTCAGAGAACGTATGGTGGAAGCTGGCAGGATCTGACCCCCAGCTCATTTGCATAAACTGTTAAGATGACCCTTGCTCATTTGCATAGGCTGTCAGGATGACAACATAAATATCTCCTCTGTATAGAATATTATATGATTGGCTTTTGCTCAATAAGTAATTAATGTTAGATTATGATAGGTGTGTGCTGTGTTTGGCAAGCTTGAGATGGTTTGACAAGATCAGCGGACCCATGAGACAGCTTAGCCAGATCAAATGGTGTTATCCTGTATTAGACCAATTACAAGCTGCTGTATGGAGACCAGTAGCGCTCCCTGTTGGGACTAATCTGACCTTACGAAGTACTTTGTTTCACACTTTTGTTGCCGTGTGTAAATGTGCGCATACGCTGCCTACTTAATTTTCCTCTATGAATGAGGTGGATTTCTCGCTCATTGAATTCCTATGTTAATTATACTCTATTAATAGTATTTTTGATGGAAGACCATATTTCGCTTTATAAAATATTTTGCTGTGTTTCAATTATTATTTTTAAAGTTACTCCTATTACAACCCTAAAGGGATGAAGGCTTACAATGTATTCTCGTTTTACGTCATGTTTATTCTACAAAAAAATAGTGATCTCTTTATTTCTCAGTTTTTCTCCCTTTGGTACTTTTACCATTAATTGAAAATAACATGTTTATTCTTGTTGGGGAGAGGGGGGTGGGGGAAGATATTTGGATGATATCTAATCTAAATTCTTCAGGGGATTAGAATTATGTTATCATTAACCTTTCCAAAAATTAAAAATAATTAATGTTTTAAATTTTATTTATGTCTTACAGCCAATCAAGGTAAACTGGGCAACTACTCCTAGCAGTAAAAAAGACAGTAAGTATTCTGTTACATTTGTTTGAATCGCTCTTGATGTATACCATGGGTGGGTTGTTGCTCCTCTGTTTACACCACCTAGGTAGGGACCCAGGATAGCGTCATAGCAGAGTCACCACGTTTGACTATTTTTAGACAAGCAACTGTTGGCCACCACACTTCTGGATTTGTTTGGTTTTTTTTTGGTTTTTTTTTATATATTACATTAAAGATACCTTTTAATTGATGTAAAGTACATAGTGTCTGTCCGTACATTATGTGGTACATAAATGCCAAATTATTATATCTAACATTATCATTATTATTTAAAGGAAAAAGTATCTTTTTTTCAGGAGAGGCGGAAAGTTTGAAAGAAAGATGTGTAACCTCTCAACATTTACACTTTTTTTTTTTAATATTTAAAGTCGAATTTTAATGTTTTTAACTTCTAATCTCATATTTCCTCAACATACTTTTCTCTCATTTGGTCTGGAAAAACTGACATAGCTAGCTGGGTTTTTTTGGTAGTTAATTATAATACACTTATTACCAGGGGTATTTCTCAAATACTTATTACCAGGGGTGGCAGAAGTGGGAAAGATTAGAGAAATACTAATTTGAATGATGTTCAAATATAAATTTGCACAACATTCTCGTCCTTTTTTAACCATCACCTGTTGAGTAAATCCATAAATAGCATTTTCCCTGAAGGATTGTGAATGTAGTAGTTCACGGATTCAGTTTAACTAATAGGATTTAAACTCTACATAACAGTACATGTATCCTAATTCAGAGTGGATGTGATATGAAGTGAGCATTTGTAAAGGTAGTTTTTTGCTTCATTGTACATTGTATTCTCTCTGGAGTATGCTAGTACTACGTATTCTCACAGAAATATATCAATGTACGAAGTCTGCTTATCACAGTCTATAAGTTACACTAACCATTCTACAGAATATTGCCTTTCACTATTTTAAAACTATAATATAAAATAAGTACATATTATATACAATGGCCACTATCTTTTATCTCATAGCCCTTATCCCCTTCCTTTTATCCATTACTCCCTTCCTTTTATTTCTTACCCTTTCCCTCTACTTTAATATGTTGTATGTATTAAGCTAATATATAATTTGAACAATGAAATTTAAGTGTTAAAACTTTTTATTTATTATGGCTAGCAGGTAATAATTCAGCATCCCAATATTACAGCTACAAACAAAACATTAAAAACACAAAGAAGTATAATGATACAAAAATAAATTGGAAATATAAAATTGTAATAATATTTGACATTATATTATTTGATATTATATATTTAAGTAAGTTAAATATATCTTTATTGCATGAATAATGCAATTTATTATATTTACATTCTCTTTGCTAGGATTTTTGCATTTAAAATTATCTACATCAGTGAAAATTTATTTTTATGATCATGATCATTATCTCATTGGAAAGATTTTCCTTTCAAATTAACAAATTAATATTTTAATTTATTTTCTATATTTATAAAGAATTTACTACAGACATTATATTTTTTATTTACTAGCTGCTTATATTGTAATAACAGCAAACCTTTTCCCGAGTCAATTTTATTTGAAATACCTTCTATGTATTTGATACTTCCTAGCTTTTGTAATTATAATAAATACATTATCTAATTGGCTGTAACGTGTATCAGAAAAAATTAGAGAATTCTAAAAATAATCAGTGATGATATTTTACAATTACGCAGAGTGTAATTACAAAAGAGCCATTGTTTTATAATGGATTGAATTTCTACTTTGAGGAATATCGAATGCTCCTTGAAGGTAATCCGGCAGATTTCCATCGGGAGTGGTTCACTTCCTATACCATATTGTCTAACCAATTTATTGCCAGGAAAAAAGAAACCACGACAACAATTTACTTAATAACTTGCTCACAGGTAATTTACATTGCACTTCGTTATTTGATCACCTACATTTAAAATAAACATCAATAATATTAAATAATATTAATTTATTTTGTCTATGTGGAATCATAATTATATTGTTAGCAAACTTTCTATTGAGATAATCTTATGTTTAATGTTATATAATTTATAATAGTAATTATAGATTATTTCAAACTTTTATATATTTAACCTTTGACATATTCATAGTAATAAAAAAAAAACATTTTATTTGTAATAATGTTATATAATAAGCTTAATAATATTGTAAAAAGATGCCCCTAAACCAATTTTTATAATAAATATTTTATAATATATAATATAATATAATTTGTAATTTAAAAAAAACTACAATTATAAAGGGTGTGTTTGTGGACTCTTTTGACCTTTAATTATGAAATTGGCGGATTGTGGTCTCCAAAATTTGTGCAAAACTTTTATACAACCACAAATTTGTGTACGTGTCTAGATGTATTACCAGTAGAAAGCGTGTATTTAATGTCAGTGTGTATACGTGTTACGTGTAACACAATGTTCATAGTGTGTGTAACAAGTCAATATCATTGTGTGCATGCATACATCAATGCGAGTTTATTATTTGTGTGTGTTTTGTATACTATACACGCATTATATGTGTAACATGTGTTTCAGCTAATATCAGCCTTTATTCCATTTTCATGCAAATTGTTTTAAAAAAAAAATTATCAATATGTTATCTCTACATAGAAAGTTTAATTTAATGACCATGAAAATTATAATAACAAATGTAATTATAATTTTTTTTAAATTAACTTTCCATATAGAGATAACATATTGATAAATTTTTTAAATACCATTAAATTTCTACCTTCCATTTGTCATTTTTTACATTGAGTTTAGTGAATTTATTATATTTTTGTTAATTGTGCTATTACTGCAAGCATGGAGCATTCTTTAGCTTCATTTCCTCTGGATTTTACAAATTTCTTTACACAAAGACGACTTAATAACTAAATTGTTGCTGACAGCAGTTAGGAAAATGGCAAATAAGGCCAACAGTTGAAGCCATCAATCTTTTAATTACTTATGTTTATAGAAATATTAAGATCTGGGGCTTCAGCGCATTATTTATTACCAATTCAATTTTATTACCAAGATAATACAAATCAATGAATGGAATGACCATGACAGTTTTAGAGAGTAACTCGAGAGTAAGAGTGGGTAATAACCAACATCAAGATTATGTAGAACTGTGGAAATACAGTGGTTGTTGTTGCATGAGATATTTACCAGGCCAACTTAGCCCCACTATAGTTAGAACTGAAGTGTAACATTTTATAATGCCATGTAATGGCACATATAGATTGTTTCTCAGACTTAAATGTAATTTTTTACTTACCATTTTTTTTTTTTTCTTAGAAAATTATGAAGACCTTGGCCAATTGTATCTGCCCCAAAGTATATTTAGAAAAACATCAATATTATTAATATTCTTATCAATTTACAAGTATTATTAATATTGCTTCAGATTTCAGATTTATCAATAAATTCAACATTTGTAACTGAACTATTTTGCTTACAATTATGATAGGGTACCAGATTTTATGACTTGCTACCTTAGCAAATTTCAAAATTTAAATGTTTTTCACATTGACACCATTAATTTTTGATAGAGAGCAGATACTGGCCTCGAAATAAAGTGTATTTGAGCTGATATGCCCACATGGTATACTATTGATTATATGCTATATATAAGAACCCTCATGCTATATTTGCACTAAATGAAACATAGAGATAACCAGAGGGAAGATAGCCATCTGGTAGCCTTCCACAGTTCAGTTATTTTTTTTATTGGCGATAATTTTTGTTCAAACGATTCAATCGGCATTGATTCTAAACAATTGACTAAAATATTTAACAAGATTTTAAGGTTTGTTTAAATTGATATAAAAAAAATGTTGTTTGTTCAAATAATGAACTACAATATACAACAAACAGTATAATTGATTTTTAATTGCTTACTTTGTATACTTGATTAAGTATTTAAATTTCAACTTGAAAAAATGTATTTTACCCATGTGAAGCTCTATTGAGCAAGACTTATCAAGAAATGAATGATAAAAAATTTAGTAAATTATTATTAATAATTTTATTTAGACATCATTTGAAAATGATATCTGGCCATCCTATAGGTGCAAGGTATATTCAGTGTTAGTGTCTTCATTGCATACTTAAATGCACTTTAACCTTGCATTTTAATTTATGGTAAAATAAATTGAATAAGGTGTAACCGCTGTTACCTAAAACGCTTGGTAAATAGTGTGCTTGTGTTCTAATCCCAGGGTTCTGGGCTCAAATCTAAATGTGTATTCCAAATCTTCAGGAATTAATGATTTAAAATGATGCTGTGATGGCTATAGAAGCGTGATAAGCTGAAACAAAATTTCCATCATGGAGATAAATTTCATTTACTCTTCTGTCATGTCCACAATAAAGGATATTATTTTCTTATAATTTGAAATGCATTATATATTGACTACCACAATATATAATAATTTTCCATTCAGTAGGACTAATGCATTTTATTGCCATTAAATATAGTAATAAATGATTTTTATCTCATCAAAATATACAGAACTGAATTAGTTTCATTAATCATTTTAAGTAACAATTATAATTTTTTTTATTCCTTATAAATGGGTATCTTCCATTTTTCAAAAAGACAAATATATAAATGGATCAACTGCAAAATAATTATAATAATAATTAGATGAAGAAATTGTTTTAGTAATTTACTTTTGTGAGTTTTATTGTGATATGATAAGCTGTTTTGATAGTAATCAATGATAATGGAATTGCATAATTTGTATCATACTGCAATGTTATTGTAAGATGAAGGGGAAGTGTTCTATGTTTCACTTGGAGGAATATCAGATGCCCCTAGGGAGATAGTTGGTAGTATTGACCAAATTCCTAATATAATGCTCTAGCCAATACAGCTGACATAATTTTTCAGATGCACTATAGCCAATTGCTTGACATTATTCTTCCGTTGGGAACATCAAGCATCAACTATTAAATAATAATAATACTAAATTATTTATAA